CATTTGTTTAACTATGTAAACATGTGTTGCTGTTTTACCTTGCCTGCCTAGGGAACCTGATTGGTCTAATAAAAGAGCTGAATGGCGTATAGGGAGGAAGGAGGTATAGACAGGATTTCCAGGCAGGGAGAGTAAGGAGGAGGAGGAGGAATTTAGGCTCAGGGAAGGAGGAAGAAGAGATGCCAGGGAGAAGCCAGGGGTCAGTCAGAGAGACACAGGGGAAGCAGGAAAGCAGGACATACAGAATTAAAGAAAGGTAAAGAGCAGCAAGGCAAAATGAAATGCCCCCACAGGTCTTTATGTTTGAGCTCTTACTCACCAGCTGGTGGTGCTGTTTGGGAAAGTAGTGGAGCCTTTGGGAGATACGGTGGTGAGTCAGGAGGAAAGGAGTTGCTCGGGGTCCTCTCTTCTGGTCCCATCTCTGCTCCCTTACCTTCCCAGGTGTGAGTGAACTGCTTCACACTGCTGCTGCCACAGCCCCGACTGCTTCTAGGGCCGTTCCTTCCTCACCGTGACAAACTGTGCCCACAGACCATGAACAAAATAGATCCTTCCTTCCTTAAAAGTTACTTAGGATCAAATATTTGGTCACAGGTATGAGAAAAGAGCTATTGCTTGTACAGACTCACATTCTGTGTGGGAATGGTTATCAAGAAAAACAAGTACTTGGGCCAGCAAGTGCTGAGATTACAAACATGCACCATCATGCCCAGATTCATTAGTTATTTTCTAAACAGCAATAGTGAGAAAAAAAAAAACACCCACAACCATTCTTCCTCACAATACAAACTCAGTTGCTCTTTCTTAACCACACCGATCATAAACTTACTTGACTTCAAATTAAAGACCACAAACAGAGACTATCCATGCTCCCCCAAGAAACAAACCATCCAAAGGAAATTCCTAACACTCCAAACATTGTATATAGGATCACCTGCCAGCACACACAGATCACTTTTCACCAGGACACCCCTAGACAAATGTCAGCCTATCAGGGAGCCTGAACCTTAAAAATCCCTCTGCGATTATAAAAACTCCACCCCCACTATGCTCAGTGCTCTCTGATCATACCAATATGTTGGGCATACAGAGATTCCGAGTTCACTAACTTGTGTAAGAAAAAAAGGCTCTTTGCCTTTACATAAAGGACTCGGTCTCCTTGATGTTTTCTGGGAAACTCCGCAGATCTGGGTATAACAGCTGTCAAGTTATTGCCAATATTTATTATTGTGGATTTACAGTGAAATCATTATATTAATTGAAATAGGTATGGCACAGAGAAACAGTACCACACAGCTCACTCATATGAAGAATAAGGAATGGCCCCCTGCCCACCTGCATACTAGAAGTGCCAATTGGGCTCAGTTGTTGTAGGGGAAACAAAGGGAAGAGGAAGAAAGAGTGGTCGCATCAAGTGGGAAGGAAAATATAACGGTAGGAGTCTGAGGGGGAAGCAGGAGGGACGGATATGAGCAAAATTCTCAAAAGTTTTGTAAAAAATTCTCAAAAAATAAATTTTAAAACCTTTCTTAAAAGTTTCAGGTTAGGGCCTGGTTCACAGTCAAGAATAAGTTGTGAGCTGATATTTTCTCACTCTGCTCCCTTTCCTCCCTTTTGGACCGGTAATGTGCACCATGTGTCATTGTATGTTGGAAGCATGTGATCTGCTTTTTCATTTTTACTTTGCAGGGGATTACAGTTAAGAGATTACATGAGTCTGAGAAGTGACTCTGAACTTTGGACTTATAAACAGTGTTGGTACTGTGAGAGACTATGGGCACTTCTGAAGTTGGACAAAAGGCATTTTGCATTCTGATATGGTGGTAGAATGTGGCAGTTTGAATAAAAATGACCCCCATAGGCCCATAGGGAGTGGCACTATTATAAGGTGTGGCCTTGCTGGAGGTGCAGCCGTGTTGGAGGAAGTATGTCACTGGGGATGGGCTTTGAGGTTTCAGAAGCTCGAGCCAGGCCCAGAGTCATTCTCTCTTCCTGCTGCCTGCTGATCTGGATGTATAACTATCAACTACTTCTCCAGAACCGTGTGTGCCTGCATGCTGCCATGCTTTCAACACCATGACCATAATGAATTAAACCTCTGAGCTATAAGCTAGCCCCAATTAAACACTTCCTTTGTAAGAGTTGCTGTGGTCATGGTGTCTCTTCACAGCAATAGAAACCCTAACTAAGACACATATATACAGATATATAAATGTTACCTAGTATGCTTATGCACATAAACATAGATGAGCTCACACGTTTATTTAGTCCATCCTTATTTCTCCACTTTACTTTTGTGGCACTTTCTCTCCGAAGTGAGAAGCCCGACTCCCCAGACAGACAGATGGACTGGTTTTACAGCTCTACGATACATACGAAGCAGTTTTCAAACAGGATTTGTTTATAATTCCAGTGCACACTTTGTGCGTGCGTGCACACACACACAGCAGGGCTGAGGGTATAGTCACATGTGTTAATTATTTCCCCTTCTTCCTTCCACAAAAGGTAACAAACTTTTGTTTATATACTTTGTCCTATGCCCCCAACATTCCCTTAACCAGCTCCCATGCCAGTCCACTGGTATCTTACCTTTCTCATTTTTTTCATAACTGCAGTTTTACTTCATTGTGTATGTATAGTAGTTTATTCGATGTCCCATGATTCAGGGTTTAAGCAGCTCCAAATATTTGCACAGAATAATGCTGTGATAAGCCTGTATGATATGGGTATCCATACATTGCACGTGACTCTAGGGTGAACGCTTGGAGCTGTGCTTGCTGCACCAACAGCATATTGCAAGTGTATGCAGACGAAACCTTATCAAATAGCCCCAGCTTCTCTCTTCGGCTTATGCCGTTATCATCTCCACCAACAAGGAAGAAAAATGTTTGTTTCCCCACCGTCTACAAACAGAATACTGTGAAGTTTTTCATTTTAAATATTTTATAGTGGTGATTAATCACTGATCAGTGAAATATTTTTATTTATATGCTCATATGCTTTTTGTAGTCATTTTTCTTTTAATAATGTTGATGGTATTCTTTGATCATAGAAAGTTTTTTTATATTTATACATAACATTTGTTAATTATTTATTACCTCTGAATTTTAAGCTGTAGCCAGCCCTTTGCATTACTAGGTTGAAAATTATTTTAAACATATTTTCTTCTAGCACTTTTTATTTTATACTTTTACTTGCAAACACTTGTTGTAATAGGCTGCTTGTTTGTCCTGGCCACCCAGAACTGAAATAACAACACAGAAACAATATTATTTAAAACCCTGCTTGGCCCATTAGCTCTAGCTTCTTACTGGCTAACTCTCACATCTTAATTTAACCCATTTCTATTAATCTATGTATTGCCACATGGCTGTGGCTTACTGGGTAAAGTTCCCAGTATCTGTCTCTGGCAGGGCTACATAGCTTCTTCCTGACTCTGCCTTCTTCCTCCCAGCATTCAATTTAGTTTTCCCCACCTAGCTAAATTCTGCTTTGCTATAAGTCCAAAGCAGTTTCTTTATTAATCAATGGTAACCACAGCATACAGAGGGAAATCCCACATCAATCACTAATGGTACAATACAATGGACAACACTTTGACCTGTGTAAATAATGTATTTTGATCATATTCACTCCCTGTATAATTCATCAAGCCCTGCTCCTTATATGTGTTGACTTCATATGTCTGCTTTTAATTTCCCTTTCCATGTATGAAAGAACACATGCAAAATCTTATAGTACAACTGGATTGTTTCGCTTACTATGATGATCTCCAGCCCCTCAGTTTTCTTGCAAACATTATTTTATTCTTCCTTATGACCAAATAAAACTCCAGCATGTATTTAGTAGTATACCATATTTTTTATCCATGCATTTGTTGATGAACACTTAAGCTAATTCTTAATTTAGCTATCATATGTATAGTTAATATACTGCTATTAACTATATCAACTATACTTGTTGGTAGTATAGTTAGTATACTACCAAATGTGTCTGTAGCTATCCCTGTCCTGGTGGTATTTTTTAATAACCATTAACTCTGCCTGACACAGTCTAGGGTTAGAAACTGGCATGGAAATTTAAAACAGGTTCTTGTTCGTGCACAGTACAAATAGTTTTTATGGGGACAGTCATCTTAGTTAGGGTTTTTATTGTCGTAAAGAGACACTATGACCACGGCAGCTCTTATGAAGAAAAACATTCAGTGGAGTGGCTTACAATTTAGAGGTTTAGTCCATTATCATCATGGTGAGACATGCAACGCACGCAGGCAGACATGGGGCTAGAGAGGGGGCTGAGAGTTTTACATCTTGATACACAAGCAACAGGAAGTTGTCTGTCTCACTGGGCATGGCTTGGGCCTATATAAGACCTCAAAGCTCACCTTCACAGTGACACACTTCCTCCAACAAGGCCACATCTCCTAAAAGTACCACTCCCTATGAGGGCAATTTTCTGTCAAAATGCCTCAGAAGTATTTTTGGGTTTTTTTGTTTGTTTTCATCTTGAATTGTTTTGTTGTAGCTTATAGGAAAATGAGTATTGTTCTGTTAACTGACTCCCACTCTGTAATTGGAAAAAGTGCAGCTGTTTGGTGACATTCTGAATGCTTCGAAGTAAATACATCTTTTTTCTATATGAGTAGTATTGTCCTTTCCATAGGTCTGAAATTTTTCTTCTCAAGGGGAGCTAGTTTTTGTTTTTGCCCATTATAGGTCATGAATTATTGCAGTATTTTTCTTTAAATTTTATTAGCTGGAAAAAAAAACTTTTGTCTATACACTTTGCATATTGTGAAGGGGGTAATAAAAGTTAAAACATTTTCATCCGCAGTTGAAATTCCAAAATCACAATCCCAATTGAACAAGAGATTCCACAGAATTCAGTTGTAGAAATAAGAATAATCAATTGTACCACACGATGAAATTATTAGAATCAAATAATCTCAAAGTCTTCATTATGGAGTTTGTGACCCCTAGGAAAAGACCGTAGACTCGATCCTGATTATAATTAGTTAAGTTTATTAAAGATGCTGGTAGACAACTATCTCTAAGCCAATTAGAGATTTCCAAGCACAGTGGGGTGAGGGAAGAATTGTTTTTTAAGGCAAAACCACAAGAAGACCTTGTGTATCTGCACAAGCAAGCCAAGAGCTGCTCTGCTCTGCCAAGATTAGGTAGTCAAGGCAACCTCAAAATAGTCATTGAATGCCTGTGTAAACAGGTTACAGAAATCAAAAGGCAGTTAGTCATAGCAGAACAAGTAGACAGTCGGGGCTGTGCATTTGGTGGAGAGGCGCCACCGACTAAGGGTTATTGGGAACTTATCTTCCAGGGACTGGAGCCTGAGACAAATGCCCAGAGGGTATCAACATGCACGTCTAGCATAAAATGGAGTTTCTTTAGCCATCGCACGGTCCCTGGAGGACTAGTAGAAAAGTGTGTTCTACTGAGGACTCTGTGTTCTTTCACTGCCATTACGATGCAGCAGCAGTTACATTCTGAAGTTCCCCGATTAAAGGCCTGAGAATGTATCCATCCCCAAAAGCAGGAGCTCAAAGTCCGAGACGGCCATATGAAACTCTTTGTCGACATAAGTCCAGCAAGGGCTCTGAGAAAGCGGGCTATGATACCCTTGTCCATTTATCTAAATATGGATCGTCAGGGAACTTGACAAATCAGAAGTATTTTTAATTAGTTAAGTCAGCTTTTATTAAATTATGCCACATTTAAAATTAAAATCGGAGTGTATTTTCAAATAGTGTGATTTGTCCTTTATAAGTCAGACGCCGGGAGAGAAAAGCGTTGCATCTTGGTACCATTGTCCAATTTATTTGTGTTTTTCTTTGAAACCCCAGACTCATTCGTGAGAGTCCTGTTAATCAGCTTAGCGCTTTAGGGGGAACTTTTAAAGAACCAGTGTTCTAAAATAGCGCCCTTGTCATTTTACACACTTTGGTGATGGAGCAGTTGCTCGTTATATAATTTTGGCTTCTGTTCTTTCCACTTGTGTTTGTCTTTGTAATTTGGGGAGGAATACTGAACACGAGTCCTCTAATAGCTGTAGAGGAGATTGTTTTGTTTTGTTTTTTAAGTATTTTTCCTAGTAAATTTCCATTTCGAATCTTACATCAAAGTCTTTGATCACTCTGAGCTGACATTTCCACAGGAGGATAAACCTCGAGAGGTCTCCAGTTTCTCCAGCACAGCTTGTTTAAAAGGTTGTCTTGTTTCCCAGTGTATCCTTCGTGCCCTTCTGCCAGTAACCAGACCGCTGAAGATGCTGAGGCTTATACCTGAATCTCCCATTCTCCCTGATTGGTCTTCATGCCTTTGGATCCAGTCAGTGCATGCCGTTTCTTTGTAGTACAGTCCCATGTCAGGTGTTAGGATACTGACAGCATTGATTTTTGTGCTCAGCCTTGCTTTGGATATTCAGTCTCTTGTAGTTTCCATATAAATTTTAGGATTTTCCTATTTCTATGAAGAATGTCCTTTGGATTTTGGTGGGAACTGCTTCGAATCTGCTATCATTTTGGCAATATGACGATTTTAATAATATCTTTCTGCTAAACTAAGAATATGGGAGGGTTCTCTTTTTCTGTTTTTGATTTTGCTTTTGGTTTTTGCTTTCTTCTAGTTTCCCGATTTCTTTATTCAGTGCTTTATAGTTTCCATTGTAAAAAATCGTTATTATTCTGCTTTACTCTTTGGCATTTCCTTTGATGAAGTTATTGCAAATACGATTGTTTTCCTGACTTCCCTTCCAATGAGTTTATTGTTTGTGTATAAGAAGCTACTGATTTCTTCTGTATTGACTTTGTATCCTGTTACTTTGTTGAAAGTGTTTATCAGATCTCAGACACTTCTGGTAGAAGAATAGAATCGTAGCATCTACAAACAAGAGTAATTTGACTTTTCCTGTTTGCACCCATTGTATTTCTCTCCCTTGCTCCAACTCTAATTTCACACGCTATATTGACAATATATATATTGACAAGAGTGCTGTCACTGCTCATAACCCCTCTGGAGCCATAACTCAAAATAAACTCTTCCTTCCGTTCCCTTTGGTCGGGATGTTTTGTCATAGCAATACAAAACTAACTAGAATGGTGGTTATTAAACTTTCTTTTAGAAAGACCGAAAGCACGTAAAGTTGGGAAAGAAAAGCTTGCTGAATAGGGGAGGAGCTAGAGGGGAAGGAATGGGGGTAGGTTTGATCAAAGTACATTATATGAATTTATGAATATTTTAAAGAAAACTGCTGAGGTAAATGGTTGACACATATGCTAGTGTCCATTTCTCAAATGAAATTTTTGTAACTTTTGACGTGGGATGACTCCACATCACACACACATACGTGTACACACACATCACTTTCAGATCAGGTCACTGGAGAAACTGAGGCAAAGGGGCTTTGGGGTAAATGTGTTAGGGTGACCTGGTCCCCAGGTAGTCCTAGCCACCCCTGCTCAGGCTGACCGGGATATCACTGAAGTGTGGACAACTCCAGGTGCATGGTGGGACCAATAATATCCACTGACCAGTCCTTCGCCCATCCTCCCAAGACGGTGATTCCCCCAAACTGAAATCCTTTCTGTTTCTGGGGTAACCTCACCGGAGCCAGTAAAGGATCCGAGGCCCGGGGAGGCTGACCCTATGGTAAATATATAACATCAAAGGGGCTCAGCTGGGGCCAATCCTAGAGAAGTTTAGAGAAAATGGGCTGAAGAAGGTGGGCAGCCTCAGCTCCGGAACTCCTGGCTGGAGGACTAAGGAAGTTTGTGACTGACGGGTGTGACGGACCCATGGGCACAGCCCAACAAGACGGGCCTTTGAGATGCAGAGATAGAATAAACACAAATGCCCTTCGGTCTGTGTATGGGGAGCTGCGCGTGTGGTGAGAAGCCCTCTGATGGCGAACACTGGAGAACCTTCTCAACAGTGAGGTTTGGGACAATACTACTACTAACAGACAGAATCCAGAATAATTGTGCAGCGAAAATCTCCGTTGCTCCCAAGAGAGTCAATGCCCCAGAATCCTCCGCGGTAGATCACAACACGGCCCACACCTGCTGCGCAGCGTTGGAGAGAACCAGTTTATTTAAAGAAAAGGTTATAAAGCACAGAGAACTGGCGGTGTAAAAAGCAGTCAGCTACCTCGTGGGCGGCGAGGAAATGCAACCCTCCTCCCTCCCCATCAGGAAAGGTGAGCATTTACTGGTGGTTTCTGTCGTCTTCACCACTGTGAAGAAAAACGAGTGGTCAAAAACACCTCTCATGGGACGCATGGAGCACCTTGGGAAGGGGAAATAGATGAGATCTCCTGGGTAAACTGGGGGCGGTGGGGTGGGAGTAAGAGGAAGGGTTGGGGGATGAAAACAGGAGGGAACGGCATGGTGGAGTTGGGGGAAGGACCAAGTGGGAGAGCAATGAAAGAGGTATCTTGATAGAGGGAGCCATTACAGGGTTAAGGAAAAACCTGGTGCTCGGGAAATTCCCAGGAATTCACAAGGACCTCTAGGAATAGTGAAGAGCGTGCCTGAACGAGCCTTCCCCTGTAATCAGGTCCGTGAATACCCTGTCATCATAGCACCTTCGTCTAGTAACTGATGAAGCAGATGTGGAATCCACATCCAAGCATCAGGAATCCTGTCAAAGAGGAGGAGGGATTATATGAGCAGGGGGGGCGGAGTCAAGACCAAGAGGGGAAACCCAGAGACAGCTGACCCAAGCTCAAGGGAACTCATGACCTCTAGCCTGACAGCTGGGGAGCCTGCATGGGACCAGACTAGGTCCTCGACATGGGGATGAGAGTCGTGTAGCTTGGTCTGTTTGAGGGACCCCTAGCAGTGGGACCAGGATCTATCCCTGGTGCATGAGCTGGCTCTTTGGAGGCCAATCCCTATAGTGGGATGCCTTGTTCAGCCTTGACGCAGGGGGAGGAGCTTGGCCCTGCCTTAATGTGACATGACCTGCTTTGTTGACTACCCATGGAAGGCCTTAGCATTTCAGAGAAGTGGACAGGAGGTGGGATGGGGGGGGGGGGGGGGGGGGGGGGGGGGGGGGGGGGGGGGGCGGGAGAAGGATGAGAGGGGGAACTGTGGTTGGTATGTAAAATGAATAAAAAAAATTAAAAAGAACACCACTTACGGCAGGAGTTGACGGCTAGTTAAGCTTTTATAGAAGCAGAGGGGATACTGTTATATAGAACTGTGTCCCGGCTCTGGTGATGCAGCTGTGTTTGCAGAAAGGACATTTAAAGAGGTCCCCAAATGTATAAGGTGTCACCCTAATCCAATATGAAGCGTCCTTATAAGACAGGGAAGGCTGAGCAGAGCGGCACACACTTTAACAAACCAGCCTTGGAAAGTACAGGTAAAAGGATCAGGTTCAAGGCCAGTCTTGGCTACTTAGTGAGTTCAAGGCCTTCCTGGGCTACCTGAGAGTTGTTTCAAAAGAATAAGGGTAGGAAGCTTTAGGGGAAGAAGGGGGAAAGGGAAGAGAAGGAACAAGGAAGTACTATGGTAACCTTAGCTAATACAGACTTTAGAACCGAGAGTGGGGTGTTGTCCTATCAAACCAAAAAAATGTGTTAGCGTCTTGGAACTATGAAACACGTGGCGGCTAGGCCCGTTTGAGGTGTAGGTGTGAGGTGATCCTGGCGAGGTCTCAGGAATCAGGCACAGCTAATTAAATTAATTAAATTTGAGAATTAAAAACTAGTATCCTTGCTATACAGTGGCAAGGAACTTGGCTTAATTAAATCCTAGTGTTCTGTAGAACGGAGTGTTTATTATCACTATTACTGAGGGTGCACATTGCCACAGAACGAATGGAGGTCAGAGGTCATTTTGTGGAGTTGGTTCTCTCCTTCTATGAGGATTCCAGGGATCACACCTGGGTCCTCGGGCGTCTGTGGCACATGCCTTTACCTGCTGAGCCATTTTGTTGGCCCCATATGGAGGTATTTTGAATAATGCAAGTACAAAAAACTCAGATGAGATTTCTACAAAGATGATCAAACTATGGCCTTATTTGCCCTTACTGCCTCCAGCAAAGCATGAAGACACAGACAAACTGAGGATATTGTTGAGCAAAACATATTTAGAACTTTAAATTTTGGAAAAATTTCCCCTTATACATATAGGTTTTTTTTAAGCCATGAAGTGTGTTTTGAAGGAAAGAGTAGATGGCTGGAAACCATTTTCTAAAGAGATTAGTGTTGAATGTGAGCCACAGACAATTAGCCACCTCACCCAGCACTTTCTAGCCTTTGTGGACAAGGAAAGAGGTTGGGGCAAAATGAAGACAGACTTTAGGGCTTCTGAGATTCCAAAGAAAACAATAGTGGAGCTCCAAGCTATGAGCATGTGCTCATCTTGAAGAAAAGGGAAGAGCTTGGTGTGGTGGCTCACATCCTTAATCCCAGCACTGTGGAGATAGAGAGGCAGGTGGATCTCTATGAGTTCAAGGCCAGCCTTGTACATAAATGCACACACAGAAAAAGGAAGAGGAGGGAAAAAAAATAGAAAAAAAAAAGAGGAAAATGGGGACAAATGTGGTTTCAAGAAGAATTCATAAATCAGGGCTGCTACTCTGACCAGAGGTCAGAAAGAACAGGTCTGGAGTGAGGTCAAATATGTCTCCTTAGTGTCCACAGCTCACACTCCATAGATCAGGCCTAGGGAAACAATATTACTTGTCATTCCTGTGCGCCAGGGGACAGAACACTGAGTCAAACGTTGTTCTTGAGACTCAAGGTCCCATAGGCTTTGCCCTGCTAGGCTTGCACCTGACACTGGGACCATCACTCCTCGGGTCTTTCCAACGTTTCCCCTTTGGAATAAGAAAAATGTATAGCTCAATAAAAACAATAAAACAAAGAATATCTAAGTTGTATCTGGTCTGGCCATTGGGATTTGGAAGCACATTCTATGTTGGATTTCATAGAACTGCAGACAGAAATATGGTTTGCAGGTGAACTGGACTTAAAGCCTCACCCAGACTTGACTGAGCTATTTATATTAGAGATTTTCAGTGAGCTAAGGCTTTGAGGTCTGGGGATGCTGTGAATATGGTTTGTATTTTGTATGTGCAAACATCAACTCTGGTGCTGCGGGGAGAGCTAGCTGCTGGCTGAGTCACACTCCCCCAGTGTGAATACTGATTGATGCCTGACTTCTGATGGGATGTGGCTTGATGTAGGACATTTAAAGAAGCAACCGAAGTTGAACAAGGTCCTCTGGTGTGGCCCTGTCTGGGAGGAACAGGCACCAGGAAAGCATATTCAAAGGAGACTGACCGCGGGAGCACAACACAACCGGAAGCCGTTCATTCATCGGCTAAAGAGAGGTGAGGCCGGAGCCACACCTGAGCCAGTCCGAGAGGGCTCCCAGGCTCCGCATACCTAAATCACACCGTCTGGGGCATTTTGTTAGGGAGCCCAGAAAATTAACTTACACGGATAACTGAGGAACGTAAATCATAAACCAGTGATTTCACGAACAAGCAAGGGCTTTCTTTCCCTCATTCCATTTCAGGGGGAAAAAAAAATGGAACCTTCACTACTGATTTCTGCCAGCTTCATGCTCTTGGGGAAAGGAAGGAACAGGACCGGCAAACACCTCTCAAGCTAGGAGTTGACAGCCAGTCACATGGTCCCCCTTATGTCTGCAGGGGTGCAACGTCTGTCTGAAGCCTGCACCTGCTGCACCCCCACCCCACCGCAATCCCTGCACGTGTAGGGCTCCTTCCCAGAGTGGGTCTACAATGAGAGCAGAGTTAAAGCCAAAGCCACACCCAAATGGCTTCTCTATGGACTGGACTGAGTCCTCCAGTCAGAGAGGTCTGGCATTCCATCCAGTCCCCCCAAACACACACGCTGTTCACATAAAGCTCCTACTTAGAATGTCTCCTCTGGTGGCGGGTGAGAAGATACTTAAAGGCAAAGGCGCGCCCGCACTGGGGACACAGGTAAGGCTTCTCCCCGGTATGGCTCCTCTGGTGCCCAATGAGGTTGAACTTCTGGCTAAAAGCCTTGCCACACTGGGCACACACATAGGGCTTCTCCCCCGTGTGCGTCTTCTGGTGCCTGATGAGGAGCGACTTAAACTCAAATGCCCGTTCACACTCGGAGCACCGGTAGGGCTTCTCCTCTCCGTGGGTCCTCTGGTGTCTGATGAGAGAGACCTTCTTTCGAAACTCATGCCCACACTCGGCGCACAGGTAAGGTTTCTCTCCCGTATGGATCCTCTGGTGCCTGATGAGGTTGAACTTCTGCCGGAAGCTCCGGCCACACTGCGCACACACGTAGGGCTTCTCCCCTGTGTGTGTCCTCTGGTGGCCGATGAGGTTGAACTTCTGGCTGAAACCCCTGCCGCACTGGGGGCACACGTACGGCTTCTCCCCTGTGTGTATCTTCTGGTGTCTGGTGAGCAGGGATTTGAATTCAAAGGCTCGCCCACACTCGGGACACTGGTAAGGCTTCTGCCACCCTGCGTGGGTCCTCTGGTGTCTGATCAGCGTGGCCTCCTTTACAAAACCACGCCCACACTCAGGGCACAGAAAAGGGAGCTCCCCCGTGTGAATTCTCTGGTGCCCGATGAGGTTGAACTTCTGGCTGAAACCCCTGCCGCAGTGGGGGCACACGTACGGCTTCTCCCCCATGTGTGTCTTCTGGTGTCTGGTGAGCAGGGACTTGAATTCAAAGGCTCGCCCACACTCGGGGCACAGGTAAGGCTTCTCCTCGGTGTGGATCCTCTGGTGCCTGATGAGGTTGACCTTCTGGGTGAAACTCCAGCCACACTGGCGACACACGTGAGGTTTCTCCCCGGTGTGTGTCTTCTGGTGTCGGATGAGCGTGCCCTTTTGGCCAAAGCGTTGCCCACACTCAGCACAAACATAGGGCTTCTCCCCAGAGTGTGTGATCTGATGCGTGAGCAGCCTGGAGAGCAGTCGGAAGCCACGGCCGCACACGGAGCAGATGAAGGGGTTGTCGTCAGAGTGGGAGCTCCACCTGTGTTGCAGCAGCGAGGCCTTTCGGCAAAAGCCTCTCCCGCACTCGGGGCACACGAAGGGCTTTTTGTCCAGGTGAGTCCTCTGATGAAGGAGGAGGTCCACCTTCTGGCGGAAGCCTCGCCCACACTCCGGACATACAAGGGGTCTCTCTCCGGAGTGAATGATCTTCTTGTGGTTGTTGAGAGAGGATAAATACATGAAGCCTCGCCCACACTCCCCACACACATACGGCTTCTCTCCCGAGTGTTTCCTCTGATGGACCGTGAGGGAAGCCTTCAGAGTAAACTGGTGCCCACACTCAGCACACGAGTAAGGCTTCTCGCCTCCCTGCATCCCCTGGGGCTTCAAGAGGTCTGACCTCTGGCAAAAGCCTGTTCCGCAGTCAGGATAGTCATGATGCTTCTGAGGGCTGAAAAGGCTGGTGGCATCGGGAAGCCCTGGAGGAAATGCTCCCTGTAGAACTGCTCCAGATTCCGACCCATCGGACCCCTTCAATACTGTGCCTGCCTTCTCGGGGATGCCTCCTGGGGCCGAGTCAAGGTCTGTTGGTTTCCCGCTGCCTTCTTCTACCCAGTACACCGCCTGACCTTGACACGGGCTAAACAGTGTCTGCAGGATCCCAGCTGGACTCGCCCTCGGCAGCAGAGCATCGCTGCTGGCCCCCTCTTCATCTCTTTCACTGCTACAAAAGCCTGGAGCTTCCGGCTGGAGGTTGCTGCCTGCTGGCGGGCTTGGGAAAGTCTGAGGGGGGTGTTCACTCAGCACACACACTCTGAGGACGTCGGGACTAGCAAAAGATATCGGGCAGGAGAGACCGGGCTCTAATTCTGTCCTGGGTTCTGCTAGAGAGAAAGCATTGGTCAGATTCCGAGATGCCGGTGGGTAGTAACATTTCCCCAACTGTAATTCCTCAGACGCTCACACACTCCCTTCACAAACAGCCTTCACACAGCTCTGAACGTCAGGAAACTAAAACCCTGAAAAGCTTCATGGGCGTTGTCAGCTCTGTAAACTACTGCAATTAGAGTCGCTAATAGAGGCATGAACATCCACAAATACTTGTTTTTATTCAATGTGCTGTTTCTTCATTCTTCTGAAATAAAGTGACAAATTTGAAGTCATCTACCTAAAGGTTTCCCCAGATGAGAGAGGCAGATTGAAATAATCTTAAGGACCCCTGTGTGATACTAAACTGAGTGCTCCCTCACCCCATAAGCGAACAGGGAACGAACTGGGTTTTCTTTTCAGCAAACACGGTGTGTTTCGGCAGTGAAGTGCAGCGCCATGGCCTACCCCTTAAAGAAATATGGCTCCCGGTGACCAAATTAATCCAAGACTTTCTTGATTTTCTTCAAGTCATAAAAAAGAAATACTCCCCTCTAATAACAGTGCTTGCTTAGGAGATAACAAGTCAGCACACCTGTGCCACCACGATTGCTTGGGTCTTGTCTATTGGAGCTGATTATAAAATCCTGTGCGTTCTGACTGAGGACTCGTCACGACCAGCCTTTCTAGACCTGCCTGGTTCTTTCTGACCAACACAAAGTGTGGCAGTAGGCCTGCCAACTGTCTTCTAGACTGCTGTTGGACCACCGCCAACTATTAATGCACCACTTACATCTCCTTGCACAGTCCAGTACTAAAGAGTCATTGCAAGGAGCACATCCAGAGGCTACAATACATACTGCAGAACCGTTTACCAGAGATGTTTCCGGACCCTGAGCCACATCAGTGGTGCGTTTGATCTGATCTAAAATAACAGTTTGACATCCAGAGGGGTCAAGGACACCACAAGAAAACACACAGAATCAAGTAACCGGGGCTCATAGGGGTTCAGAGAGACCCAACCGACAACCAGGGAGCCTGCATGGGACTGATCTGGGCACTACGCACAGATGTTACAGCTGTGTAGCTTGGTCCTCTGGTGGGACTCCTAACAGTGGGAACTGTCTCCAACTCTTTTGCAGACTTTCGGGACCCTACTCCTCATACTGTCCAGCCTTAATACATGAGGAGGTGCTTAGTCTTACTGCAACTTGATAAGTCACGTTTTGTTGATGCTCATGGGAGACCGGCCCTTTCCTAAACAGAAACAAAGAGGGGGGGAGGGGGGAGGGTCTGCGAGGAGAGGGGAAGGAGATACTGTGGCCAGGATGTAAAATAAATAAATAAATTTATTAGAGAATAAATACATGGCCAAAGGAGAAGGGTATCATGAAGCTCCCTTCCTAGCACCTAAGTCCACGTACATCCCACTGTTATTTCTAAGAAAACCATTCAGTGAGCTAGCTCTCTGGGTGTCCCTGCTAGTCAACCAGCCTCTTCTTGACAGTCACTACCGCTGGTCCTCCTGGCCTTCCAGACTGTAAAACATAACAGCTGCTTCAGAACTGGGTGACAGGCTAGGAAGGTTGTCATGTACACGCTAAAAAGGCCTAGACTGCCACTAAAGGGAGTCACTGGGAGGAAATACGGAAAACAAGTTTCTAACTGTACTCCAGTGTTTGGGGAAGAGTGGCGCTTAGGTGTAGTAAAATGGTTAGCAGAGAAGATTCCTGACCCAAGTATTGAAGTTGCAGCTTGGATTGTCCTTACCACTTAATGGAAAATGCAGGAAGAAATTAGTAGAATTGTTAAGAAAAAAGGAAAATTCTGTTTATGCATACTGGGCAGGTGAGAAAAATTATCTAAAGAGAACACTAAGCGTCGCTAAACAGCCTTTTATGCACCATATAACCACGCATAATTGCAGAAGTCTGAACAGATGTGGGATTACAGTGCCAGAAACACAGCACTTGGAGCCAAGAGAGCAGGGAGCAGGGTAAAGTGAAGGAAGGCTGTCGTGCTTCCTGGAACCTACGGCTCTGGGTAGAAGAACTTACTTCTGTAGTATTACAGACTTCTTAGGGTAGGGTTTTTCATCATGGCATCTTCCTACATATGTCGTTACACCCTCTCCTTTCCTCCCCAGGAACTTCCCTCTACCCCTCTAGCTACTTATTTCTTCCAACTTCTTTCTTACTATGTATGTTCCATTACCTTCTCTGGTTTCTACTTCACTCGTGTCCTCCCCACCTTTATGACTGATACCCTGTAAAGTTTTGTGATGGACAGAGAGAGAGAGAGAGAGAGAGAGAGAGAGAGAGAGAGAGAGAGAGAGAGAGAGAGAGAGGAGAGAGAGAGAGAGAGAGAGAGAACTTTAGGTTCCATCTATGAGGAGGAGGCACGCACTATTTGTCTGTGAACTCTGGCGTCTTCTGTTGAACGTGATTCCCAGCTGTGTTCACTTGCCTGCAGATTCTCTCGGTATATACCTGAGAGTAACAGAGCCGAGTCATACAATGGGTCTATTAGCTTCTTGAGGAATGGCACACTGATTTCCACAGAAGCACCTGTGTTTTCTTTTTGCCCACCTCCTCACCTGAATTTGCTGGGGAGGGGGTGTTTTTACTGACGATAACCATTCTGATGGGATAATCTCGAGGCAGCTTTATTTTCCGGCTCCCTGGTGTTGGACACTGCTTCACACATTCAGTGTTCACTTGCATTTCTTCTTTTTGAGAACTGTCTGTTCAGCTCATTTACTAACCTGGTTCTTTATTATTTAATTTTTAGCAGAGCTATTCTGATGTAAACATGCACTGTGCTTCAAAAAGGGGAGAGTGACCCCACATCAAATCATTGCCACTTCTATCACAGATGTGACGCCCACAGCTAAGTGGGTATAGTCGGACCTCCACTCTTGGTTTCAAGGGTACAACAGTAGTTCTGGGAGGGCATTCTACTCCTGGCGGATGGCATGGGATGGGGATTGGCAGAATTCTAGGAATGGAACCCCTGCCTCAAGTTGGTGGGGGGCCTGGCCATTGCCCCTGTGAGCCTGAGAGCAGAACACGCCCAAGAGGATTATTTATGAGCCTTAAGCATTAATGGTGTTTGTCTTCCTGGTTTGTGATTTACTTGTCTATCACGCCATTCTACCTTGGGGTAGAATAGAAATATCCTCGCCCTAACACATAAGGCACAAAGAAAAGTCCACATGGGGGAAAGATCACAGCATTCCTGTCAACATTCACCACTTGAAGAACAGAGAGATCACCTTGATTTACGCCTCCTTAGCTCCCACACTCTTGTTTGTCATACCTTTTTTTTAAAGGTAAAAACTTATGAGTTAATCATCAATATCACCGCAAAAATTTTGTAAGTAAAGCTTCTAAAATTCTATATGTAAAGCTGTGGTGCCCTTTTTTCTCTTTATTTTTTTTCTTTTTTCTAACCCCCTGCTCTAGGAATTCTCTTATTTATTTGTTTGTTTGTTTATTTTGGTTTTTTTTAATATTTATTTATTTATTTATTTTGTATACAATATTCTGTCTGTGTGTATATCTGCAGGCCAGAAGAGGGCACCAGACCTCACTACAGATGGCCGTGAGCCACCATGTGGTTGCCGGGAATTGAACTCAGGACCTTTGGAAGAGCAGGCAATGCTCTTAACCACTGAGCCATCTCTCCAGCCCTTATTTTGGTTTTTTGAGACAGGGTTTCTCTGTGGTTTTGGAGCCTGTCCTGGAACTAGCTCTTGTAGACCAGGCTGGTCTCGAACTCACAGAGATTCGCCTGCCTCTGCCTCCCAAGTGCTGGGATTAAAGGCGTGTGCCACCACCGCCCGGCTAGGAATTCTCTTATTTTTAATTGTTTCTGCTTTGTTTAATTGTTATTTTGGGGTTTGGTTGGTTGGTTTTTGGTCTTATGGATGAGAGAAGGATCTTCTTTTACCATTTTCTTCTCTTTGAAGAATTTCTTTACCTATACATGGGACATGGTACGTGTCCCAGGTTCTTTATTTCCATTAGTATCAACGCACCGATTTCCTTCACTCCCCAAGAATAGTTTTGCTAGGTATAGAATTTATAATCCTTTCAGCACTTGAAGAAAATTCTTGCTATGTCCTCATTGGCCTAATTAGTTTACATGAAAAACCCTCTGTAGGAAAGACATTTTTTTCCTCACTGGCTGTCTTCCAGATTTTTATCCTTTTTTTTTTTTTTTTTTTTAGTTTCCAGAATTGTAATTATCATGTGAATTAGTGTTTATGTATATATGTTTATTTAATGTTTCTATGGCTTCTTGTATCTATATGTTTATATCTTTTTACAAAGTTTAAGAAGTTTTCAACCATGATTTTCTCAAATATTTTTCATTATCCTTTTGGATTCTGATGACATAAATACTGTTTTCTTGGCTTTTATACCAGAAGTCTCTGAAATCATTCTTTTTTTCAGTTTATTTTCTTTCTTTGTTCAGATTTATGATATTTTATTGTTCTGGAATCAAGTTCACTGATTCCACTTGGATATCATGGTGAACATATTTAATCCCACCATTCAGGAGGAAGAGACAAGTGGATCCCTATGAGATCAAAGCCAAACAGGGCTACAGTGCGAGACCCTGTCTCAACACATAAAACAAGTTCACAGGTTCCATTCCTCACTCCAACTCTATAGTGAGGCCCATCCAATGAGTTCACATTTTCTCTTGTATATTTCAGTAACAAAAATTGCAAATTTTTTTATATAAAATAATTATTTACTGATATTTTATGCTTTTATTTCAAGAGCATGTATAACAAGTTGAAAATCCTTGGGATGCTTTTTATTCAGTACTAGGGTGTTGGAGGAGGGCCCGCTTGTTTGTCCCAGCCGCCCAGCTACCTTAGCCCCGAAAAAAACACACAGAAATTGTATTAATTAAATCACTGCTTGGCCCATTAGTTCTAGCCTCTTACTGGCTCACATCTTGATTTAACCCATTTCTATTCATCTGTGTATCGCCATGTAGCAGTGGCTTACCAGAAAAGATTCAGCACATCTGTCTCTGGTGGCTCCATGGTGTCTCTCTCTTCTTCTGCCTCTCTTCCTCCCAGCATTCAGTTCTGTCTTCCCCACCTACCTAAGTTCTGCCCTATCAACTAGGCCAAGGCAGTTTCTTTATTCATTAACCAATGAAAGCAACGCACAAACAGAAGGACCTCCTATACCATTGGGGATCAAACCTAAGACCTTGTGCGTGCTAGGCGAGTGCTCTATTCATGAACTATGCCCCCAGCTCTCTTTCTATATTTTATTTTTAAGGTCTCACAGTTGTCCGAGTTGACCTTGAACTTGCCATCCTCCTTCCTCAGTCCAGTGCTAAGTTCACAGTGCTGCATCTACAGGCCCTGAAATCTCATCTCTGATGACCCCCACTTCATCAGTTCATTGTCAATCTTCAAGTTGTAATTTCCTGGCTCTTCCTATGATGGGTGATATTTTTTTATTCCATACCAAATGGTTTAGATTCTAGGTACTATTTAATGTCATTTTAAGAAATATGCACCCTATTTATGCTAAACACTAAAATACAAGTCAGTAGTTAAGTAAGTTATGATATAGCAATATAAAGTAATTCTACTCACCAATAAAAATAAGTTATTGACATACACCATATGTATAAGGTTGGAAGTAATTATGCTAAGTGTAGAAAACAGTTATATCATGTATGAATTAATTAACATAAGTTCTAGAAAATTCAAACAAATCTATAATCGGGAACAGATTAGAAAGGAGGAGACGGTATTGGCAGTTGCTAGCTTCTGGGGGAGGGAGAGTCGGCTTCCTTGAAGGCTGTAGTCCTGGTAGGTCTACCTCACTCTAGTGGGTGTACCCATGAATACACAGGCAACACAAACAGGACTTGCTGAGCTATATTTAAAAGGGAAGGAAAAGAGGGCACGAAGTTGGGAAATGTCCTAACTTGGAGAGATCTGGAAGGAATGAGGAGAGAGGAATGGGGAGAATATAATCAAAATCCATTGTATGTGTGCATGAAATTTTCAAAGAAGAAAATAGTTTGCTTGTTTGAAAGAAAGGAAAAGGAGGACAAGGAGGCTGGAAAGCAGAAGTTGTGGTGAGGTATACAGGAAGTCTGGGAAGGAGGGGGGTGCTCCCTGTGTCAGTTCTAACACAGCACATTGATTTCCACTTCTAATAGTTTACCTTGAAACACGCCCTATTTCTTAATATTCATATCTTAATAGTATTTTATAGTATATGTTAATATACCTCAGATGATAAAGTTCTTTTTTACAAAGTCAGAGTTTGATATAAAGCATAACATCCCCCATATGGTTTATTTAGAAGGAAAAAAGTAAAAACAAGAGCATGGTAGTGCACACCTTCAATCTCAGGACTCAGGAGACAGGGACAGGCAGATCTCTGTGAGCACGAAGTTAGCTGGGTCTACATGAGGAGTTCTGGGCCAGCCAGGGCTACACTGTGAGACCCTGACTCAGAATCATTTTTAAATGCCAGTAAAGTAAAAATAAATTCATGAAAAAAAGATAAGGAGGGCAAAAATTTGCCTGTACATTCTAATATTCATAACAAATTATATGACTATTCATTGGGTTGGATTAAATACCTAAATGTTTTGGAGAAATTCTACAATTATAATCAATAACAAAAGAGAAAAAAATTTAACTTAAAAGTGGGCAAGTGTCTAAAGTAGTCAAATTTTTCCCAGAAGAGGGCACAGATCGCATGAGAAGATGCTCATGTTAGCTACCTAAAACCCCAAGAGAGCCCAAAAAGATGAAGAAGTGAGGTCGGACAATACCAAATGTCAGTAAGGATGAGTCAAAAGGATCCTCACACTGCCACTGCAGTACATGCTCTTACTGGCTTCAGACACAATCTGCTTAGCTAATCAATTCCAAGTTACAAATGTGTGTGAACCAGCTACTTCAGTCCTAGCTATGATTCCTGCATGCTTCCACAAGTGTTATAAAAGTACAGAGTGATAGTATTTAATTGTCAGGAACTGGGGGTGCAGACTATGAGTGAAGAAATTTACAAAACATGCAAAGTAATGTGGTATTCTGAAGGACCCAGCGGTAGGAACCGAGAAGAAGGCAGAGAAGTAGGCCAGTCTAAGAAGGAACGAGCCTGCCCCCTGGTGGACAATGGACTAGGCCAGTCTGAGAAGGAACGAGCCTGCCCCCTGGTGGACAATGAGCTCCTAGACCACAGGGCAGCCAGACTGCTACAGTTCTTCACATTTTACTGTAATCTTAATTAAACCATCATAAAGAAAACAAAGTTATGGTAATCTACAGGATGGGTGTGATGTACAGCAGCTGCCAAGGCAAGAACAGAAACTGAAGAGCATTCAGCAGGAGCAGCCTCGTTAGTCTGGAAGGGCAGGCACTGTCTTGAAGATCAGGAGTGAGGCTGGCAAGAGCACAAGAAGAAACCCTAAATGTGCTGCTGGTGCCAAGCAGAGAAGTCAGGTGCCCTGGTGAGGTACACCTCCAGGGGAGCCCTGTCCTGGAGAGGGCGGGCGGGCTATATACCCTTACCTAGAGCCCTGGGAGGAGAGCTCCCCCTAGAATGCCTTCCTGGCCTGCTGAGCTCCTCAGTGCCCCGTATCCTCATCGCCTGCCCCGTCGTCTTTCACTTACCCAGACAAAGGTCCAGAAGGCATTCACTGCCATCTCTCCAGGGTTCCGCCCCTTGTTCCAGCTGTGTGATGAGTTTGGGTTTGGAAAATGCAATTCCTAGTCACAAGAAACAAAACCAAGGACCCCTTTAGGCCAGTGACTTAAGAGCTACAACAGAACCCCAGGCCAGTGCAGAAAATGTCATACACCCAGAAGGGAGGTGCAGAGATGGAGAAAGAATATCACCCAGATGGGAAAAATGAGAAAGAATGAGCAAGGGCAGAGGACCCTGGGTCAAAAGCAGGTCATGCCCGAGGCTTGAATAAACAAAGCTCCTCCCATATTTGAAGGGGTAGCCTAGAAAGAGGCCTAGAAATACATTGTCACTCATTGCAGACACACACGCTCACACACACACACACACCTTCACTACAAAATATGGACAGTCTGAAGAAGAGAACACATTGGCTGCTACACAGACGTTTAAGATGCCCACAGGTAAACTCTGAGACCTAAATCACGACGGCCTTACCCAGGGAGACCAGGTGGCTATAATTCTCCAGCATCACGTCCCTGTACAGGATCCTCTGTGCAGGACTCAACAGTTCCCACTCCGTCTGGTTGAAGGCCACAGCCACATCATGGAAGGCCATTAACGCCTATAACAAAAACACATTCCTGCTCATAAAAGCAGTTTAAGTCACTATGCAGAACCAAGGCGGCAACACTACGGCGACCTGGTGCAACAACGTAAAGTGCACAGGCCTTGGTTTTGCATATTGGAGACAACTCCTTCCGTATATGAATCCAGTTCTGTACATGGAAACCTAGAAATGCAGGGTTTCCTATTTTGCTCTATTGATCTAGGCATATACAAGACCTTCAAAAAAACCAGTGTTAATTATTACAGCTATAGCAAGGCATCAAACCAAGAAGCCTGAATCCTTCAACTTCTTCATTTTCTTGTATTTGAAGTGGTTCTTGCTACGCTGTCCTTGCTAGCTCAACTTCCCACTCTTCCTGAGTGGCTGGGATTAGATATGTGTTTTGGTTTTTCGAGACAAGGTTTCTCTGACATTTTGGTGCCTGCCCTGGAACTAGCTCTGTAGACCAGGCTGGCCTCGAACTCACAGATCCGCCTGCCTCTGCCTCCCAAGTGCTGGGATTAAAGACTGCACCACCACCACCGCCCGGCAGCTCAGGCTCTTCCTTTCTGAGCCACTTCTCTAGCATCCCCTGACTCTTTTTTTTTTTCTTTATGGGTTCTGGGGAATCAAACTCAGGTCCTCACACCTATAAGACAAGAATTCTATCAGCCGACCCTTCACCCCAGCCCAATTCAGGCTTTTAAGCATCATCTCCCAACTTTTTAAGTATGGGTGGTTCCTCTACCTAAAACAGTCCAACCTATACTCTTAATTTTACAGTGGTATAAAGGCTACATGCAGTAGAGACGATTCTCTAGATTCTGATTTCTTCCTGAGCACACATATATGGTATTTCATTTGTACAGTGCTAGCCAACAGTGCAGCTCCTTGTGAGCCACGTGACCATGAGGGTACTGAGGCTAAGCTCTTAGACTTGGTAGAGCAGGTGTATTAAACCCACTTTCTACTCTCAGTACGTTCACACTATAAAACGGGCTCCTCAGGACATCGTCCCATCATAAGTTAAAGAGCGTGTATATAAAAAAAACTCAAACACAAAGCGTGGTGGCCACAAAACCAAAGTTATTCATGAGTTATCCACATAGACAGCAGGTATAGAATCTTCACCTGTACACGGAGAAACCAACGCATTCAAAGGCTACTGCGACTATAAGCTTCCAACACAGTGAACAGCCTGCAGTCCCAAGGTCTGAGAAGGGCGAGGCTTCCTGAGACGCTCCTATAAGAATGTCTCCTAAGAATGTCTCCGCCAACTCTCCAGTTTGCAAACCCCTTCAAAAGCCAATCAGGAGCCTCGGAGGGCAGCTGTGGCAAAGGGCTGGCCTTGAAACCACAGGCTCCTGAGCTTGACTCCCAGCATCCATGCAAAAAGCCAGGTGCTGGAAGCTCAGCACTGGGCAGTGGAAATGGGGGTCCCTGGAGCACACAGAGCACACAGCCAGCCGGTCCCACCTATTCAGTGAGCCCCGGATTACACTGAGAGAACGAAACAGACGGCTCCTGAAGAATGACAGCCAAGGCTGACTTCTGTGTGTGTGCGCGCAGACTTCATAATACAGCTTTCAGGCCTTGGGAATCACTGGGTACATAAGCCTACATATTCTGTATTTTTACATTAGCCATGTGACAATCACCGTTAGCTACATAGTGAATGTTTTGGGCATGAATGAACTTAGAAATTTAATAGAAAGCTCCAGGTAAGATAGGTTAGAGCTCCCAGGCACTGCCAAACACCCACAAGGAAGAGTGCAGAGAGGAAAATGGCAGAGAGACATGAGAAATGGTGGAGCTTACCTTGTCTCTGGTTGTCAGGAGCCCTGGGGCCATTGCGCACTCTGGGAACACACTCTCTGGACAAGAGTCTGCTCGCAGAGTCCAATCTGAGGAAGAAGAAAAGAGAGGCACTTAGGAAGACGGCCCTTCATATCCCAGTTCAGTAGAAGACAGGGACATTGTAGAAATGAGGTCGCCAGGCTGACAGAGACATCTCTGCAGCCCATTCTTTTTTTTTTTTTAAAGATTTATTTATTTATTATGTATACAACATTCTGCCTCCATGTATGCCCACACGTCAGAGGAGGGCGCCAGATCTCAGTACAGATGATTGTGAGCCACCATGTGGTTGCTGGGAATTGAACTCAGGACCTCTGGAAGAGCAGCCAGTGCTCTTAACCTCTGAGCCACCTCTCCAGCCCTCTGCAGCCCATTCTTAACCAGTGAAGAGAATCCACAAGTCTGAGTCAGTCATGAGGTCAAACCCCATCTCTGGCTGAATAATGGGGCCTCCATCCTCCTGGGTAAATTCAAGAGTGTCTATCTGCAAGCACTCCCTCTGAGAAATGAAGTTCCCCAGCGCGCTGAAAACAGAAGCATTTTGTCCATCATCCATCCCTGCCCCTGCCGGAGGCTGAAGAACAGCATCCAGGAAGTCCAAGGCAGAATTAGAAAACATAGATCTGGGGAAGAGCAGGAGCTGAGCAGAACCTGATCTTTTCTCGCGTGACCCTGGTTACACCCACTCACAAATCAAAGATGAGGATCCCACGGTTTGAAATGCATAGAGTTCGTCATCAGCCTTTGCCTGCTACATTGAAAGTCGACTTCACAAGCAGACTGTGTAAGGAAGAAATAGAAGGTGCTCTTTCCCCAATTAAAGACAGGAGACAATCGTTCCTCACATGAGCTATGTGACCCAGGTTGGATCCTGGCTTACACGCATGAATGTGAAAAAGAAACAACAAGCAAGATTAAACATAAATGGAGCGTGAGACACACTAGAAAACTATAAATATCATTGAGTGAGATCAGGACATTCGGGATGCAGAGGAAAAGAACAGTAAGAACCAAACGTTCCGAATAATGAATTCATATTTATAATGACTGATAAATACAATGTCCTCAACAAATAAAAGTATTAAAATATCAGGGAGGGAAGCTTTTATGAAATAAAGAAAGTACTTAAAAGACATGACAAGGCTGGGCGGTGGTGGCACATGCCTTTGGGGAGGCAGAGGCAGATGGATCTCTGTGAGTTCAAGGCCAGCCTGGTCTACAAGAGCTAGTTCCAGGATAGGCTTCAAACCATCTCAAAAAAAACAAAAAAAAAAGACATGTCAATCAAGTGTAACATGTGAACCTAATAAGACTAATAAGAGAATTATTTTAAGCAGTCAGTGAAAAGCAAACTCTGACCTCATCTAAAGATGGCATGAATGTTTGTGGAGAAATAACCCACAAAATCAATAAAAAACTCCTAAAACAAGTTATTTTAACTAATAGACACAAAGTTACTAATAAAATAAATATTACTTTTTTATACACTAGCAATGAACCACTGGAATTTGTGATTAGAACAGACAACATTTACAATAACATCCAAACATAGTAATATTAAGCATAATTTTTATTTTGAGATGGCTATGAGGAAAACTACAAAACTTTGTTGAAAGAAACGAAAGATCAAAATAAATGAAGAATAAATTAAGGTAGGAAAACTCGACATTTTTAAGGCGTCAATTCTCCCCAACCTGGGCCACAGATACAAAGACATCCCCATCAAAATCCTGGGAAATCAATTTATAGATATGTTTAGAGTCTAAAATTCACAGGAAAAGACGAAAGACACAAAAGAGTTAATATGCTTCAGAAGAATGAGACCAAACGCTGCCGGCATTCACAACTTACAAAGCAGTCATCAGGACAGCGTTGCACTGGAGGCGGGGCAAGCAAACTTAGAAATCCCTCCCCATAAACTGAGCCAAACGACTGTTCCAAGTAGCCCAAACTGAAGAAGATGGTGACGGTTATATTCAGGGGGTAGCGTTCTACAACAGCCTTGTTCAGTGATTCGGAAGAGACAAACCAGAACTGGTACTTGCAGAGGGGTGCGGGAGCAACTGGACTCACAAACAGGCTCTGGCATAGGCTCCAGAAAGGAGCCAGTTCCAAAGAAATCCACACTTTGAGGAGAGATCTGGGTGCAGGATAATCCGCTCATTTGCAAGTGATACATCTAGGTTATGAATCCATGAAACTTTAGAGCTGTTATACTTCTGGGAATGACCGCAATGTTTTCATATTGTAAAGTGAAAAATAATAAATCCTGGGGGAGAGGGATACATAACACTAAGTATTTTTTGATAGAAATATATAGTGTGTGTTAGAAATGAATATCTATATCATTTCTATATCAATATCAGTAGATACCAGAGACTAACAAATAAAAAGCCCATTGCTAGGAATGGGTTACCTCTTTTGGAGTTGTTAGCCAGCAAGGCCCCAAAGGTACCCCCCCCCCAAAAAAAAATTACAGGAATTACCACTACTCTTGGTTAACCTCCAAAACTTGATGGTAAGACACCACATATTTGAGTCATAAAACATGACGAAATCAAGCTGGTGCTGGCCTGGAAACTTCACCTCTGTTGGCTAATTTTCAACTGCTAAAAGGTGCTACGCAGGCTGCTATCCTCAATCACCTAGCTATGAGCCCTGCAGACTACAATAATGACTGGCCTGCCAAGATACGCAGATAGGTCCACCGGTGCAGTAGTGGCAAAACCATCATGGGAGCAACCAACCACTTTCTACTTGGATTTAAGTGTGGCTCCACAAGCTGAAACCTATACCAGTTATCAGGACAAGAGCCTATCAGGCATGCAATAGTTCCTAGGGGCTTACCTAATATCATTATTTTGCTAAATGGACATAGTATTAAACCAACTCCTGATGACTTATTGGTTTACCCATAGATTAATGCCTTCTCTCCACCCTCATTTGAGACACTTCTATTTGCAATAGATAATGATTAACAGAAAGGCCCGCAACTGGCCAAGAATAAGAAATTGCAGACTGTTCAGCCCTAACAAGAACACACACATACCACAAACCCCCCAGCCTAGGCTCAGGAATCATTGAGGAAGAGGTAGCAGAAAGAGCATGAGAGCCAGAGATGGTGGGTGACTCCACAGAAACAATGTCTTCTGGCCACAACAGGGCAGCTATACATAAGAACTCACAGCAGGTACCACACCATGCACAAACCCTGTGCAAGCCCAAATTAGAGCAGATCTCGGCATGGAGATGGGAGGTCGGCACCCACCCCTAGTATGGAACTACTGGCAATGTTTGGCTGCTGGGAGAGGAAGAGATGGCTTTCTTTAAGAGTATATATAGCCAATACACAATTCAGTGGAATATATGGGAGTATTTGGGCCGCACAAATTAGTCTTAATGGGTTTTAAAACAGAAAGAAAGAAAGAAAGAAAAAAGGACACAAAGATGGGTGAGTAGAGAGAGCAGATGGGTCTGGGAAGAATTTTGGCTGTTGAATATGATCAAAATGAATTGTATGGATAGCTCAAAGATCTAAAAAGAAAAGAAAAAAAAAAAAAAAGACCTGGGCACATCTCCAGGATCGAGTCCTGGGTCATGGGGAAAGTCCTATCCCTTTGCTGCACTCCAGGCTCTTGGAAGGTCCCAAACTCGAGGGAGCCGCACAAAGTCTGAGGCCCGCATGTACAGGGGTCAACCCCCGCCCTCCCACACACACAAACACACAAGCCTTGGCACACACCACGGCTCCATGCTTCAGTACTAGCCCCGTCTCCTGGTCTTTATTGTTCCCTTCAATCAGGCAATTTTTTTTATGTTTTCCCCAAAGGCATTCCTCGGGCACTAACCTGGGTCCCAGTGAGCGAGCTGTATTTCCAGATGTTGGTTGGCGCAGCTCCTCAAGACTAAGAGTCCCCAAGAGTCCCGTCCTCACCAGTTCGTATGTTTGTTCCTGTGGAGAATGGCTCCTACCCCTCACTTCTCAGTCTCACTGGCGGGTGGGAGTGGAGGGACGATGTCTGGATGCCCCAGATCCAGTCTCCCAGACAGTGCCCAAACACAGGGGACACACCTACAGTGCAGCCTGGGAAGCAGATCGTGGGCCAGACTAACCTGCAGCTTGTCTTGGACAAAGTACTGAACCCCAAATCCCATTCCCACGTGGCCCCCTCCCCACCCGAGGGTCTTCACCAAGACCCTCCTCCGAGATGGGCAGCGCAGCTGATTCCACTCCCGAAGACTCCACGCATCGAGGACGCAAACAGACGCTGAAGCCTGAACCTTGTGGGTGTCCCACGCCAGCTCTCTGGACTCTTCTCCTCCTGGAAAGATTTGCAGAAGCCAGGGTCGTCCTGCTCGCTCGCCAGAACCGCTGGAGGACAGTCCACAGGCACAGGTGACGACCGCAGGATGCGGAAGTACACCGGCCGGGATGACGCGCGCGCACTACACGACCCACGCAGCTCTAGAGATGGAGGAACTACAATACCCAGAATGCTGCGTGCAGCAGGACGCCTCAAGCTGACGGCGAGGCTGCACCTGGAGCTTCAGGCTGCAGAACTCTCTCCCTTGTTGCAGGACAGCAGGGTAGGCGCTTGGAGAAACTGAAAAATCAGAAAAGCCAAACCGAAGGAACCTTCAGGTACTTAAGGAAGCATTAATCAATCCTTTTAGAAAGCTGTGTTATCCAGACGTCTTCATCCTGCCACCTCACTGGTTTTTTTTTTTTAACATGTCCGTTTTAAATGACTTCTTGTGTTTTAAACTGCACTGTGTATGATTCACTTTTTTAAATGTCAAAAATGCTGGCGAGGGGCCGGGCGATGATGGCGCACGCCTTTAATCCCAGCACTCGGGAGGCAAAGGCAGGCGGATCTCTGTGAGTTCGAGACCAGCCTGGTCTACAGAGCTAGTGCCAGGACAGGCTCCAGAACCACAGAGAAACCCTGTCTCGAAAAACAAAACAAAACAAAACAACAACAACAACAACAACAAATGCTGACGAGGTTGTTTCTTGAAAATAATTCTGAATTTTTAAAATGATTACAAAACAAGGTCAAACTAAGTTTGAAGGCATTTAAAGCTGTACTGTTTTAAATTATTTCACTAATACAAAAATCAGTTGTTGGTTATAACAGAAAGACAATAAAATCTTTACAAAAAAGACTAGGAATTTAATTTGAACTTGGATTTGGAATTGTATTTCTAGGAATTTGACATGAGCAGAGTGTGTCAAACTCTCTGCTCTAACACAGAGCAGAAGTGACAGGGACCAGATTCAGTCTTCCACATTAACCAGTCTTTAAAAACGATGACGTTTATTAAACAATAAGTGTGAAAGCATTGCACATGGAAACAAGGAAAATCAGTGATCTGGATTACAAAGTGAGCAGCGGACTTCCCTGGTGGAGAAAACTCCCTGGTCCAAGAACAGACTAGGCAAAGCCAAGCAGGGCCTGGAGGTCAATGAGACGAAGTTAGAGTCCCGGGGAACCAAGGCGGCTGGAGTTCAAACGACGACAGTACACGACAGTACAAAGAAACAGACCCAGAGATGTGCGACGGTTCCTCTTCCTCACGCACCCACTGAACACCAACGGCACCCGGCACAAAGCTGCACTGTCGCAGAGAACCACTGGAAGATGTTCGAAGGACTGCAGGAGTGAGGAATAATACCTATTCCTGTGAAACAGTGAAACCTTCAGAACTTTACATAATATCTGGAAAGGGCTTCACCTCAGTAGTGAGACAAATGTTGACCTCAAAGCCTTTCTTGTTTCAGTTAAGAAGCTCAAAAGTATGCCTAGAAAAGACCAAATTGTTTACAAGTAACTTCATTTTATTTTTTATATATTTTTTGTTTTATTTATTTATTTATTTATTTTAGTTTTTCGAGACAGGGTTTCCAGTAGCTATGGAGTTTGTCCTGGAACTCATTCTGGAGACCAGGCTGGCCTTGAACTCACAGAGATCCGCCTGCCTCTGCCTGCTTCATTTTATTTTTAGATGCTCAGGAATGCTCAAAATACATAACTATGCCACACTCAATAAGGCAAAACTTGGAATGTCAAATTTTCAATTAAAAGATGTCACACAAGTAAAATAAGAATATATTGCTATGATAGGAAAAAATAAAATCAATAAAAATAATACTAAGAAATAGAGGGAGGAGTTGGAGAAATAGCATAACACTTAAGAGCCCTTGCTACTCTTGCAGAGAACCCAGGTTCAATTTTCAGCATTGAAATTTGCTATAATTCCAGTTCCAAGGGACCAGATGTCCTCCTCTGGCCTCTATAGACACTGCATGCACATGGTACATGTAAATTTAGGCAAAAACACTGGTATATATTAAATAAAAATAAATAACATCTTGGCAGGCGTGGCTGAGGAGATGGACTCAGTGGATAATGTGTATGGCTCCCAACCATGAAGATTTGGATTTGCATGCTGAACACCCTGCTTTAATTTTTGTTGTTGTTTTATTTTGTCTTTTGAGACAGGGTCCATATATCCCTGGCTGTCCTCAAACTATGTAGACCAGGCTGGTCTCGAACTCACAGAGATCCATCTACCCCTGCCTCCCAAGATCTGGGATTAAAGGTGTGTGCTACCATGTAGTTTATATGGTGGAGATGGACAGAAGACACCTAATATCAGCCTCTGATGTGCACACACATGCACATGCACAAGCACGTATGTGCACACACCACACACACTTGTAAAAGGAGGAAGAGAGATGAGGGGAGTGAGCCCAGGATGGAGCTCAGAAGTAGGGGAGCCCAGGTGTCTGCCCACGGATCCAGGACACTCCCAGAAACTGTTGTCCAAGGCAATCTAGTTATCAGCCTCTTGAGACACATAAGAAATCTCCATCTTGAAATTGCTATAATGCCCTTCAGTTTGAAAAGCTATTTCTCACGGGAGTGTGCCTACTGGGACAGAAGAATAGTAAATACATGATGCTCTAAAGGCAGTAGGACCTGGGAGAATGGAGCCCATAGATGAGGCAGCCTACAGTCTCATGCAATAGCCAGCTTTATTCAAAGCATCAGAATTCATACTGAGAGTTAGGAAAGATCGCCTGAGAAAAGTTCTCGTGAGTGTTTGGTTGGATGCGTCACCCCAGCTCCCTGGCACCCCTTTATCCAAAGAGTCTGGAATGTTTGGTTGGGGGCTTCACCCCACCCCCTGGCATCCATATATACAAGGAGTCTGGAATGTTTGGTTGGGGGCTTCACCTCAGCCCCTCTCCATTCCAAGCCCCCTCCCCTGGGAGTTGCCTCAGTCCAAACTCCACCTCCAGAAAAGCCAGCCAAACAGTGACTTCTCCCCAGGGAGGGTCAAGACCACTCCCACAGGCTATTTAAACTGCCCCCAGAGAATGAACACGGGGTCTCCTGTTTCTCAGTTCCTCTCTCCATGTTCTCCCAGGGGGGCACCCATGAGCACTGGCATTCATTAAATCTGGGCTTCTTCTAATTTGGTTTGATTTTGTCTGATTTGGATTATTGCCTCGGCAGAAAAGCTTACGGGGCCAGAAAAACTTAACAATGAGTTCAAGCCATATAGAATCACAAGGACAAGCCACATGTGGCCCAACATGTACCCCGTAGAGACATACAAACATTTAATTGAATACAGCAGCAAGCAACACTGAGTGAGGTAAACTTGCTCCTATCTGCTGCACTGGGAGAAGCACAAAAGCACCGTCCAAGAGCAATTCCAGGTTTCGAAGAAACTGAGGTCACAGGACTCTTGTTTTTGTTTGTTTGTTTGTTTTTGTTTTCACAATTTCTCACAAGCGTTCAAAATTCTCACATGACTCCACTCTTGAACCACGTGCTGACTATTAAGAAAAATCCTCTCCACCGGCACACAGAAATCCGATCAAAACAGATTAAACCGAATTAACGTGCCCGTGTTTTATTAAATGTAGCACTCTCGGGTGGCTGAGAGTGTGGCAGGGGAGGCAGAAAACCAGGGAGCACACACAAAACCCAGGACAAGAGAGTTGTTCAGTTTCCATGAGTATATAAGCTTTATATTACTTGATTTCTGAGATAGGGTCTCATTCTCTAGCCAGGTCAGCCTGAAGCTCTCTATATCTCGCTGGCTTTGAACCCATGCTAATCCTCCTGCCTCCGTCTCCCAAGTGCTGGGATTATGGACATGAACCATCTCACTTATTATTATCTATTTGATATTCAAATTGTCCTTGATTTGGCAAGAGGTATCATTTTCATTTATTTATTTATTTATTTATTTAAATTTTTTGGTTTTTCAAGACAGGGTTCTTCTCTTTGTAGCTTTGGAGCCTGTCCAGGCACTTTCTCTGTAAACCAGGCTGGCCTCGAGCTCACAGAGATCCGCCTGCCTCTGCCTCCCAAGTGCTCGTATTAAAGACGTGTGCCACCACCGCCCAGCTGAGAGGTACCATTTTCAAGCTGGCCATCATCCTTGGAGCATCCTTTGCCTTTTGACAATTTAGAATTTATGCTTTTGTACAGTTATAAAGCCCTGGTTCTCACCAGGTGGTGGTGGCCTAAGTTCAGTCTCCCGGATCCAGGTAAAAATAGAAAGAACTAACTCCCAGAGATGTCCTCTGACCTGCACATGCCCACTGCAACACATGTCTGTCAGGAAGTGATCTGCCTGCAAGCTTCCACTGTTCCTCCAAGGGTAGGGCACTGAGTGAAGGCTTCCCTCTGCACCACTCCAAGGGCTGGGAGCAAGGTGTCATGAGGGCTAGCAGCTGGCAATCTGGGAAAAGAACCTTACTTTTATCTTGGTCTTCTATCCCTTGAAGAAGGAGGACACTCAGCCTTAGTTGAACGTTCCTGAAATAATGAGTACGTCTGCATGCACAGCGGAGCAGGAATTTGATCCAAGCTTCGTGACTAAAGAGAGAGATGGGAAATGGAGGCAGAGATGCCAAGCTTTCGTCCTGCTTTCAGATCTTCGTTAAGCCCGGATGAAAAGTCAGCACTGCGGCAAACACGCCCAGTCCCTGTTGTAGCCCTTGATGGCCCTTCCTGTCTCGTGCTAACCCATTTATTACTGGTCATTTGGTTTTTGAGCCAGGTTTATACTATGTAACACAGGCTGGCCTTGAATCTCTGGTCTTCCTGCCTCAGCCTCTTAGGACTCTTGCTATTGTACATTAATTTATCACAATAAACTGCATTTTCTGTACCAAATTTTCAAGAGTGGCATACAAGATAAAAGGTGAAAGGAGAAGGAAACCACCATTTGTAAAATATAATCTGATTTAGAAAACAGACAAACTGCATCAGACTAAAATTACGCACCATAGTCTCTAGGTTCCCAAACAAATCCAACAGCAGCAGCAACACATGTAACACAAATTTGTCCAGCTAAACCATATAGCCTTTCAAAAGACAAATTTTCAAACTAAGTGCAGTCAAATAATCCAATTTGCCTTTATTTGCAATTCATGAGTCAGGTGGCATTTCGTCTAAAATTGGAGACGTGTTAAGATGGGCTAACAGAACTGTCCGCTGTCTATG